CACCCCCTACGTCTCTCGATCTTGATTTATCTCGAAAGTACCAGTGTGAAATCGTATCACTGATCAAATTAAACAAAAAAAAAAGAGAACCCAGAGCGTGTCTAAATGTTCATACGAACGATTTGTATGAAGAATAGATGCGTATATCTGGTGCGTAACGATAAACGTTATTAGAATTTTTTTACTTGTATATAAGCAACAGCGATACGACAAAGAATAATTAAAAAAAAAGGTAATCCGATGAGAAAAAAAGAGAACGAGAGAGCGCGGAATATGGGGTATGCGATGATGTCTGCGAGAAAAAAAAAGAAGGTAAAAAGAGGAAAGCAAACCATTAATGTTTTTAACGATCTTGTACACACGGAGAACATGTAAATACATGGATAGATTATCATAATGCGAGTATAAACATTTAATGTTTTTAACGATCTTGTACACACGGATTACACGTAAAATGTAAATACATCGAAAATTATCGAAAGCAAACTGATAGTGTCTTGTACTTACTTTCTCCTTCTTTCGAGTTTTTTTAAAATATAGATATCTTCCATCAATAGAAATTATTAACAATAAATTATTTAGGCGGTCAAGATGGCGTATCTCTTAATGGTATATAGTGTGTGCATATATATATATATTGTATACACATATATATATATATGTATATACACACTTTCTTTACTCTGTTATAAACTGATCACAGAGCTGTATTAGCATTTTAAGACTGTACTTAACATGATCTTAAAATAAGAATTGACTATAAATATCGGTTTATAACATTTATTTAAAAAAATAATCGCGTCTGAGTCTGTCAATAAAAAATATTTTACTTACGATAATCTTTAACTCACTATGTGATCATCACTATGAACTCATTATGTTGATAAATCGGTGACCTTTTGTAACTTCTTTTCCACCAAAATACAATTTATTTTTTCAATAGTTTCTTTTTGAAAAAATCATTAACTTATCAAAATGCCCATTTAAATCGCTGTTTATATTTTATTGCACAATAGCCGAGTGACTGGATTCGTCATGCGAATTCCGTTTGCGACGGTATGTTCCAAGAAAGCGCGTAAAACTCATTGTGAAAAACGAATTTATTTTCCTTTATCACACACTGAGAAAGAGATAAAGGGAGGAGTGGGAGGGAGGGAGAGTTAGGAAAATCCAATTCGATGTAAGACAATAAAGAAAATCATAATGTTAAAATTTGTCACATATTATTATTGCTAAAAATGCGACAGGGAAAAATGGAATAGATTCTTATTTATTTTTTCAAGAAATTTGTAGATACGTCATCATTAATTATATGACGTATCTTTCTCTACATATAATGCATTAATCAAACCTTTCAGTTCATTGTATTCGCCAGAAAGACGAGAATCGCGAGAACCATTTTCATAGCGACTAAGCTCAAATTAAGTAACCACCTGTTTCTTCTCAAAGTTCATTCGGTTTTAATGTACGTCAAGAACACAATAAAGGACCGTATAATGTTACGAAATTACTCATTATCGATAATGAATTATAATTCGCGCTCGTCTGCCTGTCGATAATTTCATTCAACTAATTTTCGGGCGAAGATCAATCGAAGGCATAAATTTTTACGAAACTGCTTTTTATTATGCTTTACAATCGGACTAAGCGCTTCAATTACCATAAATTTATCTTTTTTTTTTAACATAAGACAACGTGATCTCAATTCTGCACAACGTCGATTTATTAAAGGATAATTAATCGATATTTTTAACTAATATTAAACGTCGCGACAAAGTTGACCGCTTCTATTGATCTCCGCGTGTCGAGTGTCACCTAATTAAAAGTAGAGAAATAGTTTTGTTTCGATTGTGCACGGGGGATTGTACTTTACATAGGTATATTTGTAGGCTGTGCTCCGATATACTGTTGAAAATCCGTAGTTCATATTACGTATACTACAGATTTTTAGTTAGCAATGTATATCGAAATACGGTCTTAAAAAGAGTTCGGGTATACGTCGTATAGCGACGTACACCGTGCGTCTCGTTATAATTGTTAATCACAATCGTCGAATATGTACAAGGATTCTGTACAGGGATTCGTATTTGCCATTCGTCGTCACGAATACGCGCTATATCACGTAGAAATTCGATTATTACACATAAGTATCGTACTATATTTACGATGCAAAAAGGTATTCGTTCATAAACTAGTTCATACCGCGAGAGCTGTATAAACAGCAACAGGCATCGTGACACTGATACTGACACCGACAGGATCAGGAGATGACTCGAAACCCGCGCGACGTGCTATCGTCTCGCTCGACAAATTACTACTCAATACAGCATAATTTCTCTTCATCAAAATTAGAAATTATCGAACTAAATTAAAAATCTAATAATTTTTTTTGCGCGATTATTTATAACGAATTAGTTTTACGTCAATAATGAATATCCCTCAATAATAAAAATTTGCATCAATCAAGCCTCTAAAAAAACATAAAAACGCAGAAACAAGAAAATGTCCTACATTTTTAAATGCTATTTAAACATTTTTTGTGTCCGTTTCCACTAAATTAGATCAACTTTAACATCGGTTAAACTTACTTTTCATTCTTTTCTGGTTCTAAAAAAAAGAAGTCGATCTACATTAAAGCGAGTTAATCTGCATTAGTGGAAACAGACACTAAACTTCTCTGCATCTTTATACTGGAGGGTAATAGGAAGGAAATATGATTCATTTGAAGATACAGCGGTTGCAGAAATTCAAAATGATGTCTCACATATCCGTTTACTAAAAAGCGTAATGCGATTTTTCGATGAGTAGGCCACGCTAATCTTGATGCCTTACCACTTTATCGGCCATCCACTTTAGGCGCATTATAATCCTATGTTTACGTAACTATAAGATCATATATAAGGTGAATCTAAATTGTTCGTTGATACTTTAAAGATCTAGGATTCAAAAATAAGAAGTGTACGAATTCGAGAAAATGATCGAAGAAAACGATCGAAATGCCCACCTTTCACTGTAACGTGCTACGATATTAAATCTCAAATTCATAATTTATAGCTTTATTTTGAATAATTCACACATCAGAATATTTCAAAATCTTTAAGACAAAAATATTTCAAATAAAGTTGCTCAGCTATTAAGAAAAAAAAACCTTAGTTAATTTTGAAAAGATTAAGCAATGAAATCTGTGATAAAGAGTAAATGATAACTTTAACAAATTGTCCTAAAGCTCATCTTTTCTTCATCTCAAAATTAATTACTTTAAAATCGTGAATTGTCCTGTTAATTTTTAAGCCTCATCACTTGCAACGTACTTATGAAGAAATCCTATTATAGTGTTTTGGAAAGATCTGATGAAGTCAGCTGCATGAATATAAAATAAAAAACGGGAATTTCAATTAACAAAATGTTAATCTTGATCTTGACCTTAAGGGCACTTTCTCAAGGTCAACCAAGGTCATCTTTTTTTCCCTATATACAATAATTGAGTAATTTCTGTCTGAAAATGTTTTTATCTTAAACTTAAGGATTTTTGAGATCTGGTGGATGATTAAAATGGATCACCTGTATATATAATAAACAGAGTTGGCAAAAAATGTTTTTTTTTTAAGAACAAATATTGATAAACATATTTTTAATGCTTCATTCATGTTTTAAATAATATTATAAAAAATATATTAAAACATGTCAATTAAGCAAGTTTTGAACAGTTTAAAATATTAAAAAAAAATGATTTTACCAACCTTGATAATAAATCGAGTCATACATGTAGCGTGAATAAGCGCTTATTCGAGATATCTTTTTAAAATGTATTATTATCCAGGAGAATCAAAAGTTAAATGACTTAAGCTCCTTTAGCATCTTTTCCTTATTATGTAGACTCTAAACTTGTTTCGCGACGGTACCGACGTGCAATTAAGAATCACCTTGTATATCTAACATCACCGTTTGCGAAGGCTCTTCTCGTTTACTTTAGTGCGTATGCGAACCGCTCTGGTTGGATGGAACGTCGTTCCATCGTCAACGCGTACGCTCGTTGTATACACGTGACAAATAGAAGTCCCGTCCGCGCGCCGATATTACGCGTATGTACCCCATAATCGGCGGAGAATCGGGACGCGCACTTGCAAAATCGGGACGCGCACGTGCAAGATTAATATACATCGCTCATCCCGTTCATTCATAAACACGCGCGCACACACATCGATTTTTCATTCTTCTATTTGTAATTTCGTTACAATACAATTTCGCGTATGCGTAATATGTACACATTTATCAGTCACACTGGCTCTAAGGCCACCAAGAGTTTCCTTACATTCGGGATCTCTTCGCACTTTCCTTCCTCGCGAAAGGGTATACACATTAACAAAGTCCATGATTTTTTAATGTTATTAAAGGAGGAAAGGCAAGTCTCTTTATTAGGCTTAGTAAATCACTTCGTATACAGTGGCCTTCTTGTCGCCAGATCCGGTCACAATGTACTTGTCGTCCGCGGAAATGTCGCAGCTCAGCACCGACGACGACTCCTTAGACTGCAAGTTTAACAAAAGTATTGGCAAAATAAAACTTATGAGAACGTTGCTATTCAATTTTATACATATTAATTTATCGATTTAAAAAGATGTTCTCTCCTAAAAATTTGTTTACTTTTGATCAAATTGAAAAATTCAATAAATTAAAAAAAGATAATAAAATATAATAAAAAGAAAAGACATAGTTTAGCCCAAAAGAAAAAAAAAGTCCAATATACATATAGATACATATCCAATACATTCTGTTTTACAAGAACGCTAATTTTTAGGACGTGGTTGGATGCCAAACGAACACGAAAATTGAGACAAAGAATATAAATGATCCCATCAATTGTAAATACTTGCCTGAAATATTGAAGCACCGTACGGCGTACGCCACGCATTTAGCAGATTGTCTTTGCCAGTCGAGACGAACCACTTGCCGCAGGAGGCAAAACGCAGCGAGAGTACGCAGGAATCGTGCAGATGCAACTGGTACTTGTCGGACTTAGTAGCATGAAGTACCTCGACGTTCGAGTTCTCCATTCCGACGGCCAGCCACTCGCCGGTAGGACAGTAACCGAGGGAGAATATCTGCGAGGTGAAATCGTGCTGCTGTAGCTGCCTACCCTCGCGAAGGTCCCAGGAGCGCACGGTATTGTCGAGACCGCCGGTCCACAGTTTTGATCCATCAGCTGAGATGTCGATGCAGGACGCACCGTCCGTGTGACCTTGGAATTGCCTGACCAACGACTGATTCTGTAAGTCCCACACGGCGATATTGCCGTCGCTGCAGCAGCTGAAGCAAACTTTCGAGTCTGGCGAGATCGCCAGGGCGTAACACGCAGGTGCCGACGAAGTTAATTCCGCCTTAATTCTGGGCGTGGGACTAGCTAGGTCCCAAATGCTCAGTTGGCTGGCCTCTCCACCGACTATCAAGGTCCTCCCATCGGGCAGAAGTTTCACAGACCTGAAAAGTAAAACATGCCAATTTCGCCAAATGTCTTCTGTTTAATTAGTTTTACTGTTAAGAAATGTTATTTTAATAAATGTAGTCACTTTAATCTATGTCATCACATTTTTCAATCTCTTGCGTGGCATACTCAATAACGAGCCATCGAGATGTACATAGGTGCACATAGGTGTTATGCTACAATGCTTAGCATAGATTTTTTTTTATCAGACACCGCCAACGCAACATTCAGAAACAAACAGTTCTAAAATCTCTATTTTTTATTTTATTTTAAAAATAAAACTGCAATGAGACGATATTTCTTAGGCTAAAATGAGAGTAAACGCAATAATTTAGATTATAATTTTTTCAATTTTTAAAAGATTGTTTCCTTTGCGCATTACTTACTCTTTATTTATTTCTAAATTTTTTGCCTCTTTTGAGTTCCTCCAAAATTTCGCAGCGCACTTAGAAATTCTTTACGTTGAACAACTCTGATTTATGTACTGTAATAGCTCCAAACAACAGTCTCATCTCTTTTTTTTGAAAACAAAATTTAACCAGAAGAAATGTGTGACTTTATTCGCTATCTATAGTACTTTATGAGATCAAATCGTGCACGTGATCCTTTTTGCAAAAGTATATATAAAGATCAACGAAACGTTTAGACGTAACAGTGAGATAGCAATCACTCAGAGCTCTCACCTAATGTAATTGTCACGTTGCAAACAGTCCAGCTGAGAAACTGGTTTCACACTGGCGCTGCCGACACTTTGGCCGATATCCCAGACCTTGACGCAACCCTTGCCGCCGGTGTAGACGTACTTGGTCGGATTCGAGATCGTAACGGCGCAAACCACCTCGCCGTGTGTCAGGGTGTTAATCTGACGTGCGTGACGCGGGATACCCGGTCCTACCAGAGCGTCCGTGGGGAATGGTACAGGCTGCAGTTGGCCCTCGCCGTTCATATGGTAGGAGTACGCCCTGGGCGAAATAAGCGCAAGTGTTTAACGCTCTTATCGCGAAGGACAATGTTAGGGAGAAGTGAATCATAATATCTTGAATAGATTTTGTGAGATATAAAGGTTTTATACAAAAGTTTTATAATAAAATACCCCTATTCATCTAAATGAAGAATATTTTTCAAGAATAATTTTAAAAAATAATTTTTTTTTAATTATTAGTACAGAGAACATTTTCTAATACACCTTGAAAAGTTCTTAACATGTAACGAAAAAAGCTGAAAATTGCTTTACTTTATATAAAAGATTTTACTTCTTAAAACCGCAATCAATATTTTTTAACTTCATCTATTTATGTAATTTATACAAAGATTAAAATCTGAATTCGACATTTTGCTAGATTTCTTTGTTAGAAAAATCTAAGGTGATTTTTTTTCACGTAAATTATAATTACGTACGGTTTGCCACCTGCGATGTTGTTCAGTCCGTTACTCGCGGGTATCCTCATGTGACCGTCGAAACCGATCTGCGGAAGAGATGGTCGCTCAGTATCGTGACGCACAGAGATGAGAAAAAAAATAAAGGCGCGTTTGTTTATAGCAAAAAAATAAGAAATAAATGGCCTTAGGAAACGGTCATCGTCGATATGGATGGTTCTTATACGCGAGTCTGACACGAGATTGATCGCGTTTTAACCCTAAGAGGACCTCTATCGGTTTGACCTTTCTGATCATTCGGTATACGCCCCCGCTAAGTTTAGATTTCAGATTCGATCTAGATAGCTTTACAGTATCCATGAACATAATAAGAAAGAGAAAACGCTTATAAAACGTTTATAGAAGGTCCTCCTAGGGTTGAAAGAAATTAACGTATAAACAGTGGCGATTAAAAATCAATTTGTATTTTTTTTTCAGTCGCATATATAAAACTATATTGATTAATTAATGAAAGCGTGGTAACGTAAGGACTAATGTGTTACGGGGTCGTGAATCACCATGGAGGGCCGCGCGTATGGCAAGTTGCTGTATGGCGAGGGCGACTGCGGCGGCTCATTGCCGCGGGATGGCAAGCCCTGATAACCCTGCGGTGGCGTTTGCTGCGACGATGGCGGATGATAGACCCGCGCCAAGGACCCAGGGATGCCGCCCATAGTTGGCGTACAACTGCGCGAGCCCCTCGCCGCCGCCACAGGTGTACCCGGCTTGTCGACCTGGCGAACGCACGGTGTTTGCACCCACTTTTGCAGACGCTCACTGTGTCGCAATCGTACTAAGCTCTCGACCATGCCGATTGCAAATTTGCTGATCATGTCAGCCGCGATATCTTTCCTTTTCGTTTCGTTTCGCACGCGGCGGCAGAGAGCCGCTGCCTCGAGACGATCGATCGAGTAAATAAAAAAAAAGTACCGTGCTGTCGCGGAAATGTTACGATATGATTAGGGCCGTCAAACGCAAGAGCCTCTGCGTCGAGCAGAAATTGCTGTACTCAGGACACGTATTATGGAAATGTTCGAAATGGATTCTGATCAGAATCATTTCGTTTCTCCTAGAAATACACAATAGAAATCTAGGGAATAATTGAATAATTCCGATTGGAACCCATTCCGAATAATTTTATAATACGTGCCCAGATACCAGATTCTTCTTCGATTCTTCAATGAGAATTGATCCTTTTCACAAGCTGAAATATCGAATTGCCAGCCAATTCTGGAATTCATTATCGAATCGATTTTTTTCAACTTACATGAAAAGGATAATCTAAAGACCAAACAATTGAATATAATTAATTTTTATCTGTAGTTCCAACCAATTAAAGTTAAAGCACAGACCTTATTGGTCTGATTCTGATTGGTTTATCAGAATCCTTTATTTTATGGAAAGGAAAGACTTGAATTGATTGGTCAATTCTTTCAGAGTTTGTGTATTGTACGTTATAGAAAGATCTGTGCTCTGATCTTTACGTTCAATTGCTTAGCAGGATAGATCAAATAAAATAGAATCTATCATAAATCATAATGATATCATAGATAGAACGTCATCATTTAATACTTAAAAGTAAATTTATAAGTGACAAATAAAGTCATGATGATATTATTATGATTTTTGTGTTTTACTTGGAAGGCTGTAGAATCAGAAATTTCACCCAAGTGATCCCAATTATTTTATCCTTATTGTCTACTGAATGTTAAGTGATAAAGGACAAAATAATACATAATTAATCGTAATGGTTAATTATGACACAAATTCATTATGTATTACAAATGACTGTCGAATGGATGATTGGAGAATTTCGTAGGGTGCATTCAAGTACTACAACTGCTCACTGAGTGCTCAGTGAGCGATTGTGGTACTGGTTATTGAATGCATCCATAGTCCGTGCCGGTCGCGCTTCTCTGATTATTTAGAACTTTACACGTTACGAGCTCATACATTACCGACTTTGTATGTAAAACTGTATTTAATAAACAGTATTTAATAACAATAATGAATTTTAATGAACTCGATTCTTTAGAATCGATTCATTTTTCTCTTCTTTGTGATTACAAAAATCTTTTTAAAAAAGAAATTCATTTTATAGAAAAAAAAAGGCATCACTTGAGTGCGCGTAACAACGAATTTGCGCTCGATTGAAGATTCCTTTACAATTATTTTAATAGTCGCACGGTTTGTTTTGTTATATCATTTGCCTCTTGGTCACCGTTCTATGCTTGAAAATAAATAAGTAAGAATTTGAAAAGAAAAAAGATGAAATGTCTGACGACCCTAAGTTAAGTACCACGCAAATAGAAGAGATCGGCTTTTACGTTCGCTCCGCGAGAGGGTTTTCGGTATGTATATGGACGACAGAGTCACGACTGGGCCGGGTCGCAGCGTCGAATAAGCTTACTCTCCGCGAGATCTTACATCTTTACTTTTCAGAGACGGTGTACTACGGGCGGAGGAGCTGCCGCTGCGCGACGGCGGCCTGTCCTTTACGGATGCCGAGCCCGCGCCGGATACCGGTCCGCCAACGTGGCCCGGTGCGCCCAGCTTCTCCAGGGTGCCGTTTTCACGTGGGTCCGAGTGCTCTCCGTTCGCGTGCGGCGACGACGCCTCCTTTCGCGATACGCAAATATCAGGATTTCGTTAAACGAACACACACGCAATATCCTACTTAAGATATAGCATGCGATAGCACCACAGTCTTTTAAATTTGACAATATATCTTTATTCGCAGAAAATTTTTTCTCTCATTTCTTAATATCAAAATAGATTTTTTAATAAGATTTTTTATAGAGACTTTTATTTTCTAAAAGTATAATATATACAAGCATGGAACAAATTATTTTACGTCGTTTCTCCCGACAACATTATAGTTTTAATTGACATTAAACAAGTGCAAAGTTTAAAACTTGCATGCAAAGTATAATTATGAAAGATAATTATAATTACGTGTAAATAAATGAGATATTACATAAATAGATATATATATATATATTTTTAAAAATTAACAGATAAATGACGCTTTTTTAATGACATTCTTACCTCGTTCGCCACATCGACGACCAGATCCTGGTCGCTCTTTTCAGCGTCACTCTCCTGAAAAAGTCGAAAAGACATATGAGACAATGATAACGAGACGATTCACGCGAGTATATCGTCGAGTTTTCGATACACCTCTCATCCAAGCAGACGTGCAACTCGACCCACATTCTCTCGCGTGTCCTACTGACGGACGCACCCTCCGAGATGCATTATTAATCTTGCTGCCTCGCTCACGCGATGCTCCGATTGTGCTCGAACAATAAATTAACGGTGCGAACGCCTGGAGGCAATAAGCTCCGGCGCACGGTGTATCGACGTCAGCCGGTGAATGCGTAATCTGACTCGAAGTGAAAACGTTTACGATCAATTAAGCTTGATAATTAAATACTAAATTATTCAAAAAGGATTGCGTTTAATCTGTAATTCTGTCGAATTATATCCCTCGCGCTCTGTAATCCGAATTCGACTTGACAGCGTGCGCAAGTAATTAGGAAGAAAGTGTAATCACAATTATCGCCTATACATTTCTCATTCGTGAAACAATTTGCGGCTATCGTATACGTATACATTTATCTTATGCCAAGCTATATCTATAACAAGCCCGTTACCGTCCCTGCAATTTTGCGTCCGTACTATATACGTGATGGCGTATAGCACACGTATATCGTGTACGGCTAATTTATGTGGCATTTATCTCGTAACACTACTTATCGGTTATCTTTCACTCGGTGCAAGAGCGGAGGCCCGCGCCTTGCTCCGCCACCGCTCCGTCCTCTCAGAACGTGGCACGTAACGAGCTCAAAGCAGAGCACGCGATAGTAGCATTGCCCGCCTAATGACGTAATATTATCGCAGCGTATAACGTCCCATCGATGCACCGTGCATTTCGAACGTATGTGCACGAGAGATTGTGCGGGTGAGTCGCATATACGAACGCACGAAACCACCTGTGCGCGTCGCGAACGTTTTAAGTAATTCAGCTCTGGCGGGTATTTAAAAAATTCCCCCGCTAACTACCACACGGCCGCCTAACGTGATCTTATCCGACGTCCCAGCGCATGCATAAATTACATTCGACTGCTGCACAGGAGAAAATTGTCCGCACGGTTTAAGGAAAATTGAAATCGTAGATTAGCAAGAAGCTCAGAGTAATTTAAAAAAAACTTAAAATCTACGAATAATTTTTCTTTTTCTTTTTTTTTTAAGCGTATCCTCGCACTTGTACTTGAATATCTTTTCCAACGCGAATACCGATGCATTTAAGAAACTTAAAACGAATAGATTTCTTTAAGATCGCCAAGTTAATCGCAAAGTACTTGAAAGACTACCAAGATGTTCTTACTTTTTATCTAATTGTGCTTCGATTTTATTGGGAAAGAAAACTCTTCTGATGCAGAGCAAGATATGATGTATTTTTGTAAGATGCGAGTAGAACAAACAACTGGGCGAGATAATCGGAAAGTACTTTTTGACAAAGATAGCCGGACGAGTTTCCGAGAAGAAACGTGTTAAATGGACCGCGTGACATTAACCGGACTAGTACGAAATCGCAATCTGGCCGTGCCAGATATCCTCGGGAGGGCTATTTCGAGCTGCTAGGGACACGCAATAAATTTGTGTACGGATGATGAGCTTGGGTAAATAGAGAAGGCAGTGTGGTGGTATTGATTTCAGTGGTATATTACTCGGAGTGGCGAGAGCGAGCAGGCGGGAAGGGGGGGGAGGGGGCGCGGGTGCGAGGTGGCGTTCTAGAGTGGCGGAGGAGCGCAGTTATGAGAGAGAGACCGAGGGGGGTGGTTAAGAGAGCGGGAGAGAAGACTGAAGGAGACGAGGAAGAAGGTGGCCGGCGGGTGGAGGCTGTCTTCCACCCCTTAACCCGCTCGTTCTAGCGTTAAATATGATACAAATGTTATCATCCCTTCTATTCCGTTCTCCCGCGTTTCCCACCCGACGGCGACGGCGGCGGCGGTGGCGGCGGCAGCGGCGGCACACGAACCACGAGCGACCATCCTGACCCCCCCTGGGCCCCTCCGCCGCCTCCTCACCGGCCTCGTCCTTCGCTACCACCGCCACACATCCCCTCTCTCTATTCTCTCTCTCTCTCTCTCTCGTGGCGCTGCTTCCTCCGTCGACCTCTTCCCTCGTTTAACCCGGGAATAGCGCGGGGATGACGGTATTAAGGGCAGCTCTATTATTCGACCACCCAACCACTCGACTCTTCGCTTCGAGAATTCTCGAATTCTTTTTTTTTTTTTTTTGCCTCCTCATCCTTCTTCTCCACTTCGGCTCGTTCTTCCTTCGCGACCCCTCGTCTCACTCTTCGCGCGTCTACCATAGGTACTTTTCTGTTACGGTCCCTCCGCTCCGGATCCTTCCTCCTTCCTGCTACCGAGGTCCTGTACCCTCGTTCCGTACCAGCCACCCTCTATCGAGGTCCTCTGTAAACAAACGCACGAGAGCGAAAGAAGAATCGAAGGCTTTCCGTGTCTCCTCTTCCCGCCGTCTACTACTACTACTACTACTACTACTACTACTTCTTCTTCTTCTGCTTATTCTTCTTTCACTTCCTAGTCTCGTCTCCCGCTGCTGACTTTCGCAAAGTTAAGCGAGTGGCTACGATGGGAAAAGCGGCGTGTCCGCTCTCGGACGGGAATGGGATTATCCGACCATACGAGCGCTCGGCTATTGCATCGCATACGAAATCCGTCGCGTTCGCCGATTGCAAATACACAGGGATATCATTTGCACATCGACGTTTAATTTTCGCTGCGAGGCGTAAACTCTCGTAAAATTCTCATGCAAATTTAATTATACGGTACAATTTGTAAAACTCCAATTTTACAGCTTTTAACATGAAGCGGCTGCTGCAATGCATAACATGGAAAATGTGTGAGTATACACCCATTGTGACGCGCGCATCGCGAAAATCAATTTCACCGAGATATCTTACTTAAATAAAGAAGAGAAAAAGCGTATGAAGATTTTAACAGACTGAAAAGAATTAGATACTACGCGGCTTCTGACGTCAAAGCGTGTGGGATGACGCGAAGTACCTGGTAGAGTATTCAGTGTATTTGGTCTAAGGCGACGACGACGCGCTAGTAAGCATTGTCCCATAACTTTTACGAGGATGACCGCTTTTATGTTTCGTAGCGAGGACGCAGTGGAAATGTATTAAAGCGATTATGTCGCGCGCGCTAGATATAACACGGAGGTACAAGAGAGGCAGCGTACGGAGGGTGAGCACGCTCGTCGACGACAAAAATCGTCCGTCGCTGTGACGCTCATCGTCGAGAATAACGGTATAGATCAGAGGTGTGTACTTGTCATTGCGAAAGAAAGTAATAAAATACATATAATACATATATCATTTTACTCTTGCGCCTCAAGAGTATAGAAACTTCCTGAGAATGTCAAAACTCAGGCATGTAGAAATCAAAGATGAGTTGTGATAATCACCACAATCACGTTATACCAATATGTAAAGAAAGTGCACACGTGATTATCGATAATGATGGGTGTCGATAAATGACGAGGAAACTGACTTCGGAACTGGCTTAAAACTAACATCAAACTCTCTGGCAAGTACGTCTCTTCGATGCAATAGTAATCTCGGCTTCGGACTTTAGAACTCAGAATCCGTTTCACAGACAGTCCGCTTCAGAACCCACGCCTTGCTGAATGCGCTCCTTAATGCGCCCTTAATGCGGGACTTGTACGCGCATCGCGGAAATTGACGCGTTTCGAGTCTGCAACCCGGAGGTGATATTCCTCTTGTTTTCCCTCTCTTTTTTCGCGCGGCGACGAGCGACGAAAATGTATTAAAGCGTTTTTCCAGCGCGGAAAGGCACGAGAGGATGGAAGGGTCATCGGGGAGTGGAAGGAAAAGAGACGAAGACACAGACGAGGGCGAAGAAACGGAAGAAAAGGGTAGCAGTCGTTGACGGAGAATGGGGAATGGTGGGGGATTTAGCTCTGGGAAAAATGGTCGTAGGGCGGAGGAGAAAATAAAGGGGAAACGGTTCGTATGAAAATGTAATTAGGGGAAGCGTGGAAAAGCTCAGCTCATTGCGGCCTCCAACCTTTTCTCACTTCTTCCGTTCTCTCTCTCTCTCTTTCTCCTTCTCTCCTTCGCACACATTTCCTCCTTTTATTTTCTTCTACTCCTCTTCCACCTTCGCGCGATTCCCCGTTGCCACCAATTATGATTCCTTAATCGCGGCTTCATTAATCGCGATTCATTCATGCGTTCGCCGATGGCAAAATTTATCACCAGTATTTTATATACTCGCGATACAACTAACACGATCACATTTATTTCCCCCGTCAGTGCAATCTTGCGTTAGTTTTTGTCGAATACAGCTCTTAAATCTATCACGATCTTTTAGCAATTACACACAGAAAAATATCATTCTGTAGCTAAGACAAATAATGACTCAATTTATTTTCTCCCTTTAAGTAACAGTTATTTGTAACAAAAAAATATTTTGATAATAATAATAATCTTAAAATATACTTATTACTAGAAAAACTCATTAATATTCAAAACAAAAGTATATATTCTTTTTTTAAGGAATATTTTAAAATTAATCAAAAAAAGCGATTTTATACATATAATAAGTAAATTGATTTGTTTTATAATTTATAATCTTGATTGAAACATCAAACCTAGGACTGTCAGAATATATTTTGAATACATTTGATGCTTTTAATGAACTTATGATTTGTGGTTGTATGAATTCTTAAAATACTTGAAACAAGTAATTATTATTTGCGTATAGTATTTTTCTATATGTATCACTTTTTGATGTTTCAAGTCGGTAGTAACCATTTTTAATTGATCTTATTTTATTAAATTTTATCTTGAATTATAACTCTCTTGACCCTGAGTCTACCCTTCTCGTTTACTATTTTTAAATTTCTAACTGCTTTTGACACAATTTTCAAATTAACTCATTTACGGTGGAAACCATGTACACAATTGGTGCCAAGCAGCTCTTATTTTGCATCTCATGCAGGTAGTATTCCGCGCCGTGATTCACAATAAGACACAT